AAAAAACATATATCGAGACTTTATGGCGTTTTTTTTCCCATCCCACTGCATCTCATGTTTTTAAATGAAAAATTTACTTTGTGTGATTGGCTTTCCGCCCTTTGTATTAAACTATGCATACAAACATGATGCTGTTTTGTTTATAGTTGTTTAAGCAACTTAATTAATTATAATTGGTTTATAAACATTATTTTAAACATTATGCACCTTTTTCACAGATAGTCATGTTATCTTAGGCTTTAAATAAACATGCATTAGTAATATTTTGCTTGATGCACCCCCTTGTGGCCTCAGAAGAGAAGCCAAAAGCTTTTCTTCACCCTGACTGAAATTATACATTTTAATTAGAATATAATTCGAATTTTGATAATATTTAAGTACAAAATTCAAATTTAGTTTTTCAGCCATTTTGACAGCCCTACAGGTTAGCTTGATCCAGTTAACACTGCTGGTAGATGGCATAATTGTTCACCATTTACATCCATTCAGAAGTAGCAGTGTCTAACTAAATACATATTTTAAAGATTAGTCATGCAAGGAAAACGTATACTTAAATTAAAAAAAAAAAAAACATTTTAAGACAACTCAGTCCAATGGATAAAATGTCTTAAGAAAAAAATATATCTCAAAATCATTGGAAATTAAACAGACAAACAAATGATTACCGGCTTTCAAAGAACTAAAACATTCTAACATTTATGTGTAAATGAAAGAGGTCTGTCTAAATGTTGTTTTAAATGGAAATTAAAGGATTAGTTCACTTCCAGAATAAAAAGTTCCTGATAATTTACTCACCCTCATGTCATTCAAGATGTTCATGTCTTTCTGTCTTCAGTCGCAAAAAAATTAAGAAAAACATTCCAGGATTTTTCTCCATATAATGGACTTCACTGGTGGCAAACGGGTTGAAGATTTAAATTACAGTTTCAATGCAGCTTCAAAGGGGTCGACACGATCCCATCCGAGTAATAAGGGTCTTAACTAGCGAAACAATCGGTCATTTTCTAAAAAATAAATAAATGTATATACTTTTTAACCACAAATGCTTGTCTTGCACAAATCCACACATTACGTAATCATGTTGGAAAGATCATACGTGGTTAGCTCTTCGTCTATATACTCCAGTTCAAAAAGTTAGGGTCGGGCGAAAAACTCCATCTCAATTTCTCCTCCAACTTCAAAATCGTCCGACATCGTTGTTTTACCTTTTTTTGTAAAGTGTGTTTGACTTTCTTTGCACGTTCGCTTTGTAAACACTGGGTCGGCTGAGCTGTAGATTCTACCCCCTCATAATGAACGCTGTACACCACAATTTATCCATTTTAAAAACGTTGTACATTCTGTAATTCACATTATCTTGTTTGTCAAAGAATGAAGAATATCTTTCATCCAACAGTTTTAATTTTGACTGCCAACTCTTTAAAATCCATCAAAACAGCACGGAAACAGTATTCAGTTGAAGAAAAGATGAAAGTTATTCTCAGTACAATCATCCCCATTTAAATCATAAAGTAATTACTGTAACGTGAGTATTTGTAATTCGTTACTTCACATCCCTGCTCGGATGGGATCGTGTCGAGCCCTTTGAAGCTGCATTGAAACTGCAATTTGGACCTTCAAGCCATTGGCCATCATTTAAGTCCATTATATGGAGAAAAATCCTGGAATGTTTTCCTCAAAAACCTTAATTTCTTTGCGACTGAAGAAAGACACAAACATCTTGGATGACATGGTGGTGTGCAAATTATCAGGAAATTTTTATTCTGCAAGTGAACTAATCCTTTAAAAAGACAGAGAACTATTAGTGTGTGGAGTCTGGCATTTTAAAGTGAAGGATGGAGAAACCATTCTTGGAAAGGCTGAGCACTTCTGCTTCCATTAAGAACGAGCCAGGGAGAGAATGAATAAAATGTTCAGTATGCGAATTATAGCCGTGACACACATCAGTATATTCCATTTCATCAGTATCAGCCGTATACTAGCTCACACCAACACCAATCTAAATGCAAACACACGCGTTTAAAATGCTGTCGTTCAGATCTCAGATCAAATATGGTGATATGTTCTACAAGAACGCCTCGAGAAGGAACAGTTTGCAGGCTAAGCCCTCTCTCGCTGTCCTCTTTCCTCACAAAAGGAAAGCACTTACATTTACAAATACAGGACACGTCACTGAAAGGATGGAAATTTAAATATATTTGAATAGAAAACAAACGTTTTTTTTCAGAGATCTCCATGGCAACTTAGGAGCTTCCCTCACCTGTTTCAGAAAGCTGTTGTCCGAGTGATCTCAGGGGAATGCATACACTACGCCTCACGGTAAAATGCTCCTATCAGCGCGGCTACGGTATAGAGAGAAAATGACAACTGCAATTACGAGGCTCTCAAACATCCATCATAGCACGTAAAGAAAAAGACCGGCGAAATTTCCACATGGAAAATGTCACATGGCCTTTTACGCAGTTCACTGCCTGCGAAACAACCTCTGGTGACTGCTCCACTTGATGCTGTAATGTATGAAAAGTGGCATTCCCTAAGTGAATTACTTCTAATCCTATATAGGGTTATGTGCAAAAGCCATATTTCCAATAATAACATCTGGACTCATTTATTTTCAGCTGGCGACCTGCGGCGGTATCCTGTGTGACATGAAGAAGTTGAGAAAAGTACAACTTTATGCAAACACGAGCGAATTGGAGCTCACGTGATCAATTTCTTCAGTTACTGTAGTTGAGTGTCAGCAAGATTAATTTAATCCTTGTAGTAAACAGCTTATACATGTCACTTCACATAAACAATTAAATAATTACAAGTATTTTATATTAAAAAGTTATATTGCATATTATTTTGTCACTTAAATTTTACATGATTATGTATTGTATTGTATTAAATTCTTAAAATCATAATAATATAAATTATTGTATTATAAAATATTGTAAGTAACATGTCTGAGATCATGTGTTGCATGTTATTGTTATATATTATATATGTGACTTAATTTTTACATGACGATTGTATATTATATTGTATTAAATTATTACAGTAATCATAATATAATTATTTTTATTTTAAAATAAAAACATGTCTGAGATCATATTGCATATTATTGTCATATAATGTCATATAATATGTTACTTGATAATTTAACCCTCTACCGCACGCATTATGATAGACCTATAGAAAAAAATATTTGAATCTTTTTCTTTTCTAAGAATGGCTTTCAGCTGGCGACTTCCAGCGACCTGCGGCGGTATCCTGTGTGACATGAAGAAGTTGAGAAAAGTACAACTTTATGCAAACACGAGCGAATTGGAGCTCACGTGATCAATTTCTTCAGTTACTGTAGTTGAGTGTCAGCAAGATTAATTTAATCCTTGTAGTAAACAGCTTATACATGTCACTTCACATAAACAATTAAATAATTACAAGTATTTTATATTAAAAAGTTATATTGCATATTATTTTATGTCACTTAAATTTTACATGATTATGTATTGTATTGTATTAAATTCTTAAAATCATAATATAAATTATTGTATATTAAAAAGTAACATGTCTGAGATCATGTGTTGCATGTTATTGTTATATATTATATATGTGACTTAATTTTTACATGATGATTGTATATTATATTGTATTAAATTATTACAGTAATCATAATATAATTATTTTTATTTTAAAATAAAAACATGTCTGAGATCATATTGCATATTATTGTCATATAATGTCATATAATATGTTACTTGATAATTTAACCCTCTACCGCACGCATTATGATAGACCTATAGAAAAAAATATTTGAATCTTTTTCTTTTCTAAGAATGGCTTAACTTGAAGTGCTGTAAAAAAAAATGTGGAAAAAAATATATTTTTAAGGTATTTTATGATATGTTGCCATACGGCAACAGCATACAATAGTGGATCTAACTTAGAATAAGTGTAAATTGACTTAATTACAGTAATCATAATATAATTATTTTTATTTTAAAATAAAAACATGTCTGAGATCATATTGCATATTATTGTCATATAATGTCATATAATATGTTACTTGATAATTTAACGTAATCATTATATATTGTATTATATTATTAAAATAATCATGATATTATTTGTATATTCAAAATGTCATGTGTTGCATATATTATATTATTATAACATATTATTATAAAGATATTGTATTAATAATTTCATTTTGTTTGTCTGAATGTGCTTGGCTGTTGTGGTGCTTTAACTGGGGATGAATTTAAAGACGAAAGTTTTTTTTCTAGGGGGATTTAATGTGAAACAGCTAAAGCACCGCATGCTGTCAGCCTGCCAATTAAAGCACCACCACTAAAAATATCAAAACTGAAAAGAAAAGAAAAATTGTCAACCAACATGACCCATTAGTATCCTATAGTAAAAAAAAAATCTTAGGCTGCATGCCTTACATTGTCCATGAATGCTTTTCAGGAACTCTGTTTTGGACACCAATCTCTCTCCTAGACACCAATCTCTCATTTGCATGAATATTTTATCCATTTTGTCAAGGATCATTCAAACCACCTTGAGCACCTGCCACGTTTGAACAATGTACAGAAACGTCATGAAGACAAGTGTTTGTGTGTGTCCCTGTGATGAGAAATGATTGTTCTGTGGCGTGTTTTTTAATTGTGGTATTTATTATGCTCAAGGACATAGATGTCTGCTGTTTAACATGGAGTCTGGGAATACAGCGCTCTAATGAGAGCTTTTCAATCAAGAAATTAATAGGCAGATTTTAGGCTTGCACCACACTCACACAGTCTGGGATTCATCTCAGTCTTGGGCCTTCGTCGCATGGGACGGGAATAGCTTGCAGGCGATTGTCTGCTGTGTTTAGTGCAAGGGATGTTACTGATAGAGTTATGATTGGAATGACAATGGAGCTGCTGAAAAATCATCAATAGCTTCTTTGCCGTCTGATTGGCTGCCGTTCTCTCTAGGAACGATGCGGAGATGCAACTGCGGGAAGACACATCTGTCCTCAAAGTAAATGCAGGATTTAAGGCTTTCTTTGATTGCAGCTGCGGTCGAACGCTTCAAAAGCACATATGCACCTGCTAGAGGTAAATCCTTCAATTGGACTTGCTGATTGGTGCATTTCTGTCGCACATTTGCATATGGTAATCTGTGCAAAAGAAGCACATATGCTTTATCCTGCGTTTCTGACTGCTAGATCCTTAACCAAACACACCTTTTTATTACAGTCAAGCCTGTTGAAATACAATTTATGCCGTTTTGCAACACTCCATCCTAAATAACTGTGCTTAAACACTCGCTCTCGAGGGAATAGCGATATCTCAGATCTAAAGACAAGTCCCTGTTCTTAGCGATTTAGCCTCTGTTAAAACGTTAGCCTACTCCTATACAGCCTAATAACCCAGATTGCTTAGAACAATTTGTAGCCATTGCTGTTCTGACAGAATATAAGATTAAATAACAATACAACTCTAGCCTATTTATTCCAGTCTGATGTTTACTTTGGAATTTATAAAAAAAGCCGAGCAACTTGTGAGTTGTGAATCACTTGATCTGGAGGTGAAAACACTGTAAATGTGTCCTCTAACAGACTGTAAATCTTCTAAGGGGGAGTTCTGAAGTAAAACAACCTCAGCAGTTTTAAGTATTCTGCATCAGTAAGCAATAAAAGCCAAGGAGAAAAAGGGAGAAAAAAAAACATGCGTCTTGCTGAATTGATACCTCCTGCTCAACGAAACTTTAATCAAGAGCTTTTAGGTGCAAGAGTCCGCGCTGTTATCCTGAAATGATGTTTGTTTCATAGGGCCTGTTTATATGGAAATCCAAATGAGTGTTTTGTGGCTTGTCTCTTTGAGGTCATTTATATTCCAATGTACTCCTAAAAGTTGACACAATATTTATATCTTTGAAGACAAGTATTTGCATTTACACAACCAGTCAAAACTTTGGAATAATTACGATATTTTTGTGTGTTTTTGAAAGAAGTCTTGCCAAAGCTACATTTATTTGATCAAGAATACATTAAAAACAGTAATATTGTGAAATATTATTACAATTTAAAATAGATGTTTCTATGTTAATATTTTTTTAAGTGTAATTTGTTTCTGTGATGCAAAGCTGAATTTTCAGCATCATTACTCCAGTCTTCAGTGTCACGTGATCCTTCAGAAATACAAGATACATCTGCTCAAGATATATTTCTAATTATCAAAGTTGAAAACAGTTGTGCCATTTAATATTTTATGTAAACCGCATGAAACATTTTTTTCCAGGATTCTTTAATAAATAGAAAGTTCAAAAGAACAGCATTTGTTTGAAATAGAAATCTTTTGTAATATTATACATGTCTTTACTGTCACTTTTGATCTTTTGTTTTATTTTACAACAATACAATATAAAAAAAACATACTGCCATTACTTATACAATGTAATCTTATATTTTATATGTGTTTATATGTATTTATTATATGTAATGTGTCCTTGCTATTTATTATTATTATTATTTAATCCTATACCGTAAACTTTGGAATGGTATGTATTGTGGTTTCTACAAAAATATTAAGCAGCAAAAAGTCTTTTCAGCGTTTATAATAATAAGAAATGTTAATTCAGCTTTCCCATCTAAGGAATAAATTACATTTAAAACATATTGAAATACAAAACAGTATTTACTGTATTTTGATCAAATAAATGCAGCCTTGATGAGCGTAAGAAACGTCTTTCAAAAACATTAAAAAATCTTAATAATTCGAACCCCCCTTTTTTTTGTATGATTTACTGTCTTTCTGTATGACCAAAAATATTGATGAATTTTTTTTTCCCCCTGTGGAATCCGAGAACAATACAATACATTGTTGAACATTTTGCTGTCGTCTTTGTCAGGAAGTATAGAAAAAAAAGAGAGAAAGAAATATGAAATTGTCTATCATGTCCAACCAAAATCACTTGAAAACACATTGTAATTCTGGACCCATAAGCACAAACTTCCCAGGAGGACTTGAAGGCAGCAATAGTGGGTAAAGCTTAACTCATGTTTTGGTGCAATGAATAAGTGTTAGCTGAATAGACGGCCTTGTGACTCACTAGGACACATTAGCACTTACAAATGCGAAGTGGCCATGTGCGTCCCTGAACAGCTCCAAAAGTGGTTTGAGTGATTGGATCACAAGATGTATAGGACCCCATTTCTATCTGTATTTATAGCTGAGCACTTGTGGTTGGACGACTAGAGACAAATGTTAATACCAGGTGTAAATGGGTCCTTACTACTGCATTGTTGGGAAAAGGGAGTTACTATATATGAAAGAGTGCAACACAGAGAGCCAAAAGTTCAGCTGTGAATGTGGATACAAAAGTTCTGCTGCAATTGGTGTGGACATTTAATTGA